GCGATTTAATTTTACGGAATGGACACAAATTAAAGGGTTCAGAATTTTTTTATCCGTAAAGACTTGCCGTTGACAGACCGCGTAAAAAGACGGGAAACCGAAAAAGAACTACAACTTGGGTTAGGCGCTGGCGAAAAGAACCTAAAAATTGTAAATTTTCGGGTTGTAAGGCTTCGACAGAGAATGATGCCGAAACCACTTTGGGTGAAGCATGAAGCTACTTAAATAGGCTTCGGATCTGTTGCACTAATGCCCGAAGCTTATTCAATAAGCGATCGGAACATACACGATGAATAACACTGAGCTACCTGTCGTCCAGACACATAATGACTTAGGATTCATCGTCAGCCAAGACTTAAAGACTACTGCACACTGCCGTGCAATAGCGCGAAAGTTTTAGAACCTTATGGTCAATACGTAAGGCTTTTAGTCATCTGGTTGGTGGTGGTCATGTCGACACGAAAACGTTTTTGATCTTGTATACAGTGCTCATACGTCCTAAACTGGAGTGCTGCACACGAGCAGCTAGCTCCTGCTTAGAAAAAGACAGTGAGCTTCTGGAAAGGTTCAGAGAACAGCAACTAAGCTGGTTCCCGGAATAGCGAAGCTTCCGTATGATGCTCGACCAGCCAAGCTAAACCTTTTTCAGTTGTCATATCGCAGAACTAGAGGCGACTTGATTACAGTCTTCAAATTGCTTAGTGTCGAATTCGCACCTGATATGCCTTCATTTTTCTTGTCCTTCAAAACAGAGAATTTACGAGGACACTGCAAAACAGTTCAGAAGCCGAGAACAAAGTACTTGTCAGCTGACTATCGACTTTCCCATCGAATCATCAACGAGTGGAATTCGTTACCTCAGCACGTGGTTGAGGCTTCATCCATCAACACTTTCAAAAGAAAGTTGAATCAGCTGAGAGACCACCATTGCCAGGACTAACACAGGCCATCAAGCCTCCTGCCTTTTCAAAACTGAAACTGATATATTGTTATCAGCAGAATGGTCAACCTCGTGATTTCTGAGGAGTCTCAGCTTACATGGTGAAGTGTCATGAATGAAGATCTTTCAACTCACAGGACATATTTTAAATGGTTTAAAATGTTTTCCCCGTTAAAGCTTTATTAGCAATGTTTTTCTACGGGATAGGGTTGTTTGCTTCATGCACAACCATCTTCAATTACCCGGGGTTGGGATAGACAGTAGCCTTCGGGGGGCTGTTAGCGAAGTTTCAGATATTCAGCATGGTTTATGATTTGTCCAATCTGGTGTTTAATACTGAAATGTCAAATCTGCATAATTGCGTATTTATTTTGAAAAACGATATCTGACTGAGTAAATGACGGTTTACATGTAACGGTGATATTATGCTCTATTATGTAAACTATTCGGATAGCTTTCATTTACATGCTACCTATATCACCTTGTATAGATGTGCCTTTTTATCCCTTCATTTCATTATACTTCTTAATAAATATTTGAGACACGATGACTAGATAACATTCTGGACAGTTTAAATTCATGACAATGCAATTGACACTAGGCCGGCCTAATGCAGTACTGGATTTTTATTTACTATAAGGCAGTTGCTAGACTTTCTATTCTCAGTTTCATTCCTATTCTAATACACTTGCTGGTAAGTTTTGGTGCCACTATCGATAGAAATCCAAAAATCTGATCGTTATATTACTCCAGTTCTATTGCTATTTCAATTCAGTTTGGTTCATTCAGTTCTATAATCGTCTGGTTATCTATTACTATTCTGTATGCTAGAACTTTCAAACACTTAAATATATATTTAAGGACATTCGTACCATAGTTTTCATTCAATTCATTTGTTCTTGGTCATCGAGTATAAACACAAAGAATATAACAATACTTCGATATGTATATACCTGCGCGCTCATACTCGTCGCCTCATTAAGCTTTTAGGATGGCTTTGTTAGGAAACAAAGACCAGTTATTGTTTTACTGATACTTGCCTAGTTATTTATATCTCCTCTCCTACTCAGAATTTTATTTTGCTTAATTATATTCTATTTGGGAAATGTAAATTCCTTACTTTATACTCATACATTTTTGTAACCATTTATATAATGTTCAAGGATGGTTTGCCCTGAATTGTGTGCTACACGTATAAAACTTTACTCACATTCTTTCCACAGTTGTATGACCATTTATGAATACTTACTGCAGTCGACTTAGCATCCATCTACACATTTCAGGACCATTCAAAATAGTTGATTATTTGGTATTGTTTTCAAGCTACAATACATCTCAATTATAATATTTGTTCTGTATCAATTACATATCGGAGTTCTATAGGTCCCAATTTGCACGTTAGTCAGTCGCGATTTTTTATGTCCAGGGTTAACAGTTACTCGATCAGCTCCAAACAATATTATTTGGTTCGTTTACAGGTGAATGGTATACTGAGAAAAAACTACCGTTAGTATTTATAGGCGACTTCTATCTTGTGCTATCTGGTTCAAAGTATCATAACAATGATACTAATGTACAACTGAACTCTAGCTTGTTTCTAGCGATCATAAGTCTCCAGTTAGATCAACTTCAGAAACAATCCAGATGAAGTCGACATGTATAAATAAAACTGTTCTGAATCAGAATTAGTGTTGTGGTTTGAATTCGAAGCTTGTCTATATTGTATTAATATTTATTCAAATACTTTATTGCCACTAACGATTTAACAAGCAAACTTCGATACTAAAGTAGTTTGGTATTAGGTAAGCTCGCTATAGTATTACCATATTACCTAGTGTAACTAGTAGAGTTATTTGAAGTTAAAACTATATGTGATAGAGAGTAATAAAGGAAAGGAGTTGTATTGATTCGTTCATTCAGATTGTTTATTTAATAACGTCAGCCTTCCGTTAACCAAGATGAATACTTTACAATTATTGGTACAGAGAATAGATCTCCAGCGATTTCTAGCAAGAATAAAGTATAAAATTATCAGTAGGAAAATTTTGATAATACACTTTAAAATTTCTGTATCATTCATACAACAAAATCAAGAAACTACGATATAGGTATACAATCCAGGAACAGATCCGTAATAAAAACAGATATGATAAACAACACAATAAAACTGTAAGCAGGCGAATACACACACACACACACACACAAAGGAAACAGAACTTCAAAGCTCTAATGATAATGATCACATATAGGACAACTAAAAACAAAACAAAAATTAAAAGGAACCGAGATAAACAGTTAATTTATTGACTTATTCATTAACGGAATACAAAACCATTCACTTATGGAATATACAACAGGTTACATCTTCATCAATAAAAAAAGAAAATATTTTGTGTGATTATACATACGTTGATCATAAATAAAAAGGAACAAGAGTAAAAATGAATCTGGAATAGATTGAAAATAAAATGAATAGAAATATAACAACGGTAGGAATTTGCATATACATTTGAATGAAAAGAAAAGTTATACTCTTCTTTTAATAGACTAATATTAATACTTTAAAGATCTCTATCATATTAAAAGATTCATATTTGAATAAAGAATATTCTTTTCGATAAATTCTCTTCAGGTTCTCTACAACTCATACATATATATATATATATTCAAGTGAATAATCCGAAAAATGGTCGGGTTAAAGGCAAAGTATAAAGTATAGCCTTCTATTAAACATTTGATCGAATTGTAATTTCATTATTATTTCTCTCAGACCTATTTGATTCAATATTTATTCTGATCATGGATCTTCAAATTTTCACTTCATAAATATATACAGATTGAAAGTTAACATTTTATCTGAGTCAATATCAACATTAACAATTTTATTGTATTTTGTTTATCACAATCATAAATTCACATAATTTAAACGATGTACTTTTACTCCTTAACCTGACTACCTTTTTTTCCGGATTATTTATTTGGATATATGAATTATAGGAACCTGAAAAGAACTTATTTATTTTTAACAGATATTGGTACAAGGAGGCACCAAATACATATGCACCACACAAATCTCATTCGATATGTGTAAGGGCTGTGATACTGCTCGGGTGCCCAAACCGAAGCAAGTGGTTTTCTTAGGCCACACCTCGAGCCTTCGATTTAAAGGTCTGATCCACAAGGCAGTGGAGCAACGTGAGGTGCAGTCCCATGGAAGCCGGTGACCAACGATTGGTTTATACACCATTTATTCTCGCAGGATACTGGAGCCCATGTGCACCATTGATTTGGTTTGTGATCCGGTTAAAGCTCCGGACATTCGCTTTACGTCCTCTTATTTTCGTTAACAACACCACCATCACGAGAAGGCAATGAGTAGGACTTCCCTGGCAGAGGCTATATACGCGTGGCCATGTGAGAGCATTTCGAGATAGAGAACGGACTCTCCTCTTTCTCGGCTGTACCAGAGCATTTGAATATTTTTCATTTAATATATTAATCCCTATTTCTACTAAATAATTTGTTTCATTTTTCAAATACCCGGAATAAAATTGATTTTTGAACAAATGAAATTAGCGGTTATTTTAAATATAAATTATTAAATAGATATCTTTTTTCTTTTTAAATAGATTTATCAAGTACCAAAAGAAACATTATAAATTATATAGTTATAACTGTAAACACATTTCATCTAATCAAATGTACTATACATTGTAAACTATAAGTCAAGTCCTTGAACAATATTCTGAAAGTAAACAATCAGATTTATACAGATCCAATAAACAAATAATAATAATAATATGTGAATTGTATACACAGAATGTTACTCATGTATAATTTTCATTTCAAAGGTATACAATGAGATCTAGATAATTGAAAATATTGGGGAAAAAAAAATAAAAGATACACCAAAAAGAATGAGTAAATGCAACAACAATAACAACAAAAAACAACAACAACAACAAAATAACGAAAGAAAATAACAACACAGATACGAAGCTGTATCCAAATTGAAAACAAAACAAAAAAGAAGGAAAAGAAAAGAAAAGAAAAAAAACGATGGCAATTAAAAAGAAATTGAATTAAATGCAGATTTATAAATGAATAAAAGAATTAAATTCTATTTTCTATAATTCATTTTAATATTATTATTATTATTTACTTCGCCTGGAGTCCCTCCGGGGGCTATTGCCAGTCCCATGGTCGGATAAAAGAGGAGAGTTGGACATGGGGGTTAGCGGCTGCATCCCGTAGAAAAATAACTCGCTAAAAAAAACGCTAACCAGAATAAAAAATTCATTATTATTATTATTATTTATCTTAATTTAAAATTGCATAATGATGGTCCAAGTAATTGTTTCCAATCAAAATCAATATTTCTTGTATATGAACATGAATTTGGTATTGGTGGATTAATTAAATTCCATCGACGATTTTCTTGTGCTAATAATAAACCACAATATGGTACAATTGATGTACGATGATGAAATTCATTAGATGATAGATTATTTCTAAATTTATGACATATTAAATGACGTGTACAAGTATCTAATGATGATGCATGGGCTACAATTAATAAACAAGTATCTAAAAAGAAAAAAGAAATGAAAGAAAATTAAAAGTAGAATAGAATATTATGAGTTTTGTATTGTTGAGATATGAATATTCATAATGAATAAGCTATTGGACTCAATCGTTTTATTACTTGACAATTGAATATTTGGCGAGACTAACATTTATAGACGAACCCAATTAGATATAAGATAAAAAGTCATGAAGTTGGGCGCGGAATTCATCCATACATTTGGCTAAATAGAGTTTTAGCATTATGGCTGATGTTAGTTCGTGATGCAAAACCCTAAATCTAATTTTTAATCTTAACCATCAACTGTAAATGAGAATTTTAACTGCTTGATAACCCTCAACGTCACCTAAAGGTCGTCCATAAATTATAGTCTCATCGAATATTTAATAACTTGATGTAAAAACTACTGAAACGAACGCTTAAAAAAGAGGATTGATTAATAAACCATGTTTCAAGTTTAGTCCAATAATTAATTATTATTATTATTAGCTTTATTCAATATTATAATTTTGGTACAATATAGAATTCTCAGCGCAAAGTATTTCAACAAGTTTCCGTTTCTTTCTTCTTGGTCGGTCCTGGCGATAAATATTGAGGGATCGCCAGTTAGATGTGAGCACTTCAGTGAATGAACATTTGAATAATGTGCATTCTTTTCATTGTATATTGCCAGCAACCACATTGTCTCTTATTGAGTTTTTTGTAACTTTGACAACGAAATGTTGTACACTTTTCAGAAACGCAGCAGAGTAGGTTATGCGATTAATAAACATAATGATATATTAAAACAAACAAAAATAGATAACTTGTTGAAATATCTAGATGCCAGGAACAGGTAGCCCAGATGCTCAAACAAGGCAGTTCTACTGTATGGGGCGGAAACTTAGAGAACTACGAAAGCCATCATCCACAAGATACAGGTGTTTATTGACAGTTGTCTACGCAAAATACTTCGGATCCGTTGGCAACACATTACAGTATCGGCAACAATCTACTATAGGAGAGAACAAACCAGATCTTAGCGGAGGAAGAAACTAGGAAGAAGCGCTGGAAGTGGATAGGACACACATTGAGGAAAGCACCCAACTGCGTCACAAGGCAAGCCTTCACATAGGAGAGAGAAAGACCAAAGAACATATTACACCGAAAAATGGAGACAGATATGAGAAGCATGAACAACAATTGGATAAAACTAGAAAAGAAGGCCTAGGACAGAGTGGGTTAGAGAATGCTAGTCAGCGGCCTATGTTCCATTGGGAGTAATAGGCGTAAGTAAGTATTTTCCCATTCAATATATTTCTGAAAGAAAAAAGAAGTGTAAACTCATAGCTTAATCAAATTGTCATAATAAATTTTCACTATTCTGAGAACGAACACAGTAATTTGTATTATTTTTTTAATGGAGTTAATGAGAAAGTGAAAATTATTGCTACATGAAAAGCTCAAAATATGGAATGCTGAACTACATCTTAGTGGACAAATCATGTTCCTTGAGAAATGTATAGGTCCTGAGTTAATGTCAGTCAGTTACACCGTAGGATCAGGCAAATATATGTATTGACATACCTCATTAGCACGACAACATGAACACCAAATCTATAGAAGTAGTTACTTCAATGGTAGTAATATATAAAACAAAGATTGTGTACAAAGATATGATACAGGAACAAAGAACTAGTTGGTAGAAAGAAAAGTATACAGTAATTATAATCTCACGGTTTAAGGAAATACAAAGAGTGTATACACCTACGCCATTGTCATCGATCTTGAGCTATTTCACACAGAGTCAATTGAAGCTAGACCACCATGGAAAACCTGGAAGCATTGGACGGCTGTTTCGTCCTGCTACGGGACTGCTCAGCAGTGCGCATCCACGACCCCGCTGGATTCGAACCTAGGACCTACTGGTTTCGCGCGCGAGCACTTAACCATTAGACCACTGAGCCGGTATCCAACGGTGTTAATGTCTAACTTTTCTTTAAGCCATACTATCAAGTATTCATTCAAGTTTACCATAATCGACTGATTGAATTCACATGTTCTTACCACAAGAGTTGAAATATTATAATAATATAAATCTAACAATATGTAATCCTTTTTAGTACATATACCTTGGAAACGAACAGATACCAAATACCAAACATACATTAGATATGTGATATATGGAAGGTAATTCAGCCTAGTTCATATTATAAAAATACACTTAAATATTATAAAAAACAAAAAAACATACCTTTCGACTTATGAACATTTAAAATACGCTTAATTAACACAGCAGTACGATCACAATAACCTTGAATAGATTCATATTTATCATTATCATTGTATGAGCTAAGTGATGTATAATTTGTATCTACATTATAACCAGCTTGTTTCAATTGATGTACAGTCATCATTTTTGGTATACAACCACCAACATACCAACCATACCATTCGAATAAATGTGGTTCTATACGAATTGATAAATCTGACTATAAAATGATAACAAAATTATAAGTCAATGAAAGAAGATCAAATACATAAACAAAAATGTTTATAAACATGAATTCTTCAATCTTAAAGATGATTACAAACAGTAATAAAGATCTATGAGTAATATCATACAAGATATTCACAAAGTGACTTATATTTCAATGGGAAATATAAAGTTTTAGGTCTTGATTGTATTGTTTATTATTTTAAGTTTTACATAGAATTAAAGTAATATAAACTCACATTGTAATAGTGATGTGTTGTAGTAGGAGTAAATGTGATCAGTCAATGAGTGTATATAAACAAACACTCAATTTACTGACCACTAAAATATGTGATTTTCTTACCTCTTATTGATTTCTACTTAGGACTCACTGAAAGTGACTATTTGCAATTGTTTAGAGTAAATTATTATTGCCCCCGAATGCCCTGGTATAGCCGAGAGTGGGGTCAGCCCGCCCTCCCGAAATGCTCTCAAACGGCCACGCGTATACAGCCTCTGCCAGGGAAGTCCTACGCACTGCCTTCTCGTGACATCGCTGTTGTTTACAAAATCCAGAGGACGAAAAGCGAGTGTCCGGCGCTTTAAGCGGATTCCAAACCAATGGTGCACATGGGCTCCAGTATCCTGCGGGAACAAATGGAGTATGAACCAATCGTTGGTCACCGGCTACCATGAGACTGCATCTCCTCACGATGCTTCATTGCCTTGTGGGTCAGACCTTTAGATCAAAGATTCGGGGTGTGGCCCCCTAAGAAAACCACCTGCTTCGGTCTGGGCACCCGGGCAGTATCTCAGCCCTCACACAAATCGAATGATTTATGTGGCACATATTTATTTAGTGCCTCCTTGTACCAATGTTTATGTGTTTAAATAAATAAAAATAAATAGAGTAAATTATTACCTTGCGTTACTTCGGTTCTCTCTTCACGGTCGTAAATAGTATATCAGGCTTAACATGATCTAGTCTATTTATAGTTTAACGTTCGAGTATCCAATCTAGCGGTATTATAAACTCAGTTCAGTCTTATTACCATAGTACAGTGGTATACCACAGAGAGAGGAAGATATTTTAATTCATCCGCCATATAAAATAGTGTATATTTATTCACAATCACAATAATAAACTCTTTTGTTTCTTTGTCTTTTTGAGCTATACATACTAACCGACCCCGTATACACAGTGAAGAACACATTTATGATGACATGATTCAAAGACAAATGTTTGAATCAGTAAGTCACGATTTCATAGAATAAAAGGACAGACAGATGAATTTTCAGTAGTCCATTTATTAACAAATTTAAACAAAATGAGAATGAGTGTGAGAAATGTGGCTAAATCACAATACTTCTCTCAGTTTTATATGTATAGTCGCAAAAATAAAAAGAATAAGTATTAACACGTACCAGGGAACTCTTGATCACTGTCTTCTTGTCGTGTGTTGTTTACGAAGTCAAGAGGATGAACAGAGAATGTCTGGTGCTTATACCGGGAAGATGGGTATAAAGGATCCACCTAGGGGATTTCTAAAACCCTGATTCTAAATCAGTGGTGCACATGGGCTCTAAGATCCTGAGGGAACATGATGGCGCATGAACCCATTATTGATCAGTGTTTACTATGGGACTAGATTTAAGGTTCCTCTGTTGTCTTGTAGATTAGAACTCTGAGTCAGAGGCTCTAAGAGTGGCTTCCTAAGAAAGCCACCTGCTTCGGTTTGGGGACCTAGGCAGTAACCCAGACCTCACACAAATCGAATGGTTTGTGTGGCGCATAAATATTTGGTGCCCCTTGTATATTTTAGTAAATTAATAAATCAGCATAATTGAAAATTACAATATAAGATATTCTCAATAGACAACAGATAATTTATTTAAATTCAAACGTGGAGTATTATATATATGGTGAACGAAGACTTGGGCAGGAGAAATCGATCGCATTATGCAAAATAACAGTATCGGATTCAATACTGTGTCACACCTCAGTCCTACGAAAAGTCGGCCACGACCCAGATAGCTCAGTGGTAACGTCTCTGATTGTGAAGCTGGGTGAAGCGGGATCGAATCCATCAGAGAGTATCAGTTCCCTCAAGATTATAGACACATCTTGCTAAAGAGTGTCAAGTAGCACGAAACTTAGGTTCAGGGATTCCTGTTGGCTACGTCCAACCACCATCTTACAATACGTTTAGTGTGTACCTGTTATTCAGCTTTGTATTTTAGAAGACCTAGTTTTGAACATACTGTAATTTCCGTTGTCTTGCGATTGATAGATAAAATGTGTTTTTGATTTATGCAATAAAAGGTGTATTGGGTGACCTTCATTTTGTTTTAATCGGGAGACTAAGGGGAGATGAATTTGTGTGGATTAATCAAAGCATACATCGTATCTGTAAACAGTGGGTATTAGTATTAACGGCATGAGACTCACTGTTAGCAGGGATAAAAAATTCCATAATAGTGTGTACGTAGAACAAGTAATAATTCATGAATATTAAGGATCAAGTTATTATGCATTATGATTAAAAGCTATAATCGAACATAGTGTGATAGCAGAAAGAGTATAAATCAGTAGTATATAATAAGTAGCACTAAGATATTCAATGACATCGAAATGAAAAATTCAACAATTTAATAGTTTACGCGAATTTAACACAAAGCACTATATTTTACAATTTTGGGGAATAATCTTAGAATAAGACACAATCAAAAATAACTTGACTTTGTATGATGCGAGTTACTATTCATTTATGAAGTGATAGGTAAAACAGGATCTATTGATGGATAAGTCAGTTAGCTACAAAGTAAGACAAGGCACATATATGCATCGCTCCAAGTTGCCATACCTCATTAACACAACAAGATGAACACTGGATTCATAAAAGTATTTAATTCAGCTGTGGTAATGTATAAAAAGAAAGATTGCAAATAAGGATATAGTACAGAAAGAAAGAATTAGTTCGTAAAAAGAAGGGTATAAAGTAATTTTAATCTCTTAGTTTAGGGGAAGACAGAGAGTGTATACACCGACGCCATTGTGATCGATTCTGAGCCATGTTACCAAGAGTCTCCAACCATTGGTTACGATAGTCACACGGATCCCAACCACGAAGCCTGCATCTCCCAACATCGCTCAGACTAAAAGTTAGTGACTTCAAGCACTACTATTCTTTACAAAAAGTGATATTATTTAATCGACAAATGTAACTAAGAAGTTTAGACAAGTCTATTTAATAACAATGTAAAGTTTAAAAGGACAAACATTCTCTTGCTCTACGTGATTATACGCGCAATATATAAAATCTAATTATAATGATTCTAGCCTTTTAGTGGATTACTGTACCAAATATTTATTATATAAGAATTAAATATATAAATATATACATCAAAGCATAACGAGATAAGGCTCATATTGTAAATATACAATGAACTTAAGCATTATAACAAGAAGACACCTACACGACCCATAGCTCTTAATAATTCACAAGCAGTTTGAACACATCGAAACGCTGGAGAACAATAACACGCTGTGAAATAAACTCCAGCATCTGCCAAAGCGCGACCTGTTTCAGCTGATACAAATAAACCAATTTGGGTAATCGGTGAATCTAAAATATATTCAAGACAATCCGTCCGAGTAGGTAGCCAAGGTGGGAGGTTTAAATTAAATCTACGATAAACTCCTACAAAGAAAAAAAAAGATGATTATTTTGAAAAGAACTCAAACAATTAAAGATATGATGAAGAAGGATGACTAAAGAAATCACTGAAGGCAATGCTATCAAAATGAGGTTACATAGATTTAGCAAAGAAATTCTTCTAGGCGGGTGACATCTTATTTAGAGCTGACACACAAAGGAAGGCCCAGGATAGAGTAGGTTAGAGAATGCTGATCAACGGCCTATGATCCATTGGGAGTAATAGGCGTAAGTAAGTACTAGAACAAACATGATAGAAACTTAATTAAAAATATAATGAAATTAATATGAAGATGAATATAGCATACCTTTATGATTGAAACATTGAGTAATCCATCCATGACCAAAACTAATATCTACACGTTCAGCATGTCGCATAACATAAATTTGTCTTGATTTATTATGATTATGACGTTTAACTGTTGATTGATAATTATTAGTATATTTAGAATTAGCTTCATTTAATTCATCATTATTTAATGATAATTGAAATTCATTTTGACAAGTTGAATTTGCACCACTAGTGAAGTATGAATCACATCGATTATCAGTTATGTGTTTGTCTATATTATTATTATTGGTTGTTATGGATGTTTGTACACTTGATTTACTCTTTACAGGATCACTAGAAGAAGAAGAAGATGATGATGATGATGATGAAAAAAAGGAAGAGGAATATTCCGATGAATTTGAAAGACATGGTGATAGGACAAGGCAAGTTGAATTTGTATTTTTTGCAATAACACTTGAATTTTGACTTGTTAACTTTTTAAATTCTTCACTATAATTTACATTATTCTAATGAGAGAAATTTAGAAAAAGAAATTATTTCATAATATGTACATAATTGTTTAAAGCTTTGAGTTATAGAATACGGTTAAAGTACATGTTAAATGGTGATAAGCCATTGACAAGAAGCCTTGATCAACAATTTTGTGTTAGCTATCACTCTTCAAAATGGTGTGTATCCAATCGAGAGAGAATTGATTATCTTTACAATTTCAATAATGTAATTAGAAGACGAAGATGATCAGAACTATGTGATATATTAGCGCAATACTTTTCGAACAATCTGACCACACATATACTTGTTAAGAGCATTGATATATAAAAATAAAGGGTCAACTAGACTGGAAATGGAGTAAGATGAGATAAGGATAATGATAAGAGTAATAATAATAATGTGAACACAATTCGAAACCTAATCACTCTGGGTAATAAGTCAATATTACCAGGGTAGGTTTAAGGTAAGAACAAACTGTTTTTGAACACACAAAGGGGGTTTGAATTTTCTTATGGCTAAGGCTTCAATAAACCTTAGTATACGCCCTTTTACACTTTTATACAATACCACAAAAGCTGAGTTTAGATCAATCTTGTGACCTGTTTCAATTATATGATTAGCAATAAAGGATGATGGATGTTTATCCTCTGCTTTTATTGGGTCACCTGATTGTATTTGTTTCTGCAGCCATTTGGGTACATGTTCACTCACCCTAATGTTGAGATCACGATTGCTCCTCCCTATGTATGTGTGACCACACACACATTTAAGTTGGTAAACACAGTGGGATGTGACACAATCGTTTTCATGTCTTTTAAGTTTTGAATGAAGCATGCACCTTGTTCTTTCTTTGATGATGACCTTTGCTGTGCAATACGTTTTATAGATGACTGATTTAAGTCGTTGTTTCAATAAAAGGCTATTTGAATCACCTCTGAACGGTAAGGTGATGTAGACAGGCTTTTTCTCTGCCAAAGCTATAGTAGGTCTTATTGTACCATGAACTTTTCATCTATTTATGAATTTCAGAGGATAGGCATTTTCTATTAACGTTTTATTTAACAAATTAACATCATCATCAATGGTGTCGTTTGTACAAATACGGTCGAGTCTGTTGAGAAGACACCTTATCAAACCACGTTTGTATTGCACAGGGCAATAACTATAATAATTAAGATATTGACCTGTCCATGTTGGTTTTATTATCCAGAGTGATTAGGTTTCGAATTGTGTTCACATTATTATTATTATTACTCTTATCATTATCTTTATCTCCTCTTACCCCGTTTCCAGTCTAGTTGACCTTTTATTTGTATATATATCACATAGTTCTGATAATCTTCGTCTTCTAATTACATTATCGAAACTTATCAAAAGGACTAATTGTTTTAAATATCTTTACAATGACGATTGGGGGGTTAGCACGAAACCCAATTACATAGCCTTCTATCTATTTCAACTAATCAAATACCCGCAAAAACATAGTATATACAACATCGTATCGCTTACGTTCATAAAAAACGCTAAATTTAGTTGTTTGTTTATCAGCTTACGATAGAGATTTATGAAAATCCTTGTGGATAAACAACTTACCCAGCAATCAAACTATTAATACTGTATAAAACAACATATTGAATAACCCAATCAAAGGTACAAAAGTACTCATTTCATGTTACCGCCAACTGTGTTTACAAATTTAAGTATACCTACAAAAACAGCTACATTGGCAGAACAGAAAGAAGAGGATATTTTAGATTTTTCGAACATGCTCCTAAAAGCATTGGATTGGGAAGAACTATTTTAAATAGAACAATTACTAAACATCTCTTGGATATAGGATATTAGGTACCTTGTGATCCTTAAACTTAATTAATAAACAGTCAATCACCTGTCTACTGAAGTTTGCTGAAGCCGTTGCTATCAAGCATCAGAAACCTGATTAACATGTTCACAAGGAAATGGTTGTTAATTTTTCATTTCCTTGGTGACAAATATTCCTTCATAACATCATAAAACTCATTCTTTCAACTAATTACATCATTAAATGTTTTTATTTCGACTGTTCTCTAGATTGATAATCTTATCTTAATTAACTGAGCTTTACTTATTATCAGCGTTTGTTCTTTACGTAACCAACTGTTTCTAACCCTTTCGACTTTTGTTACAATCAATGTTGTAGAACGTTGTTTAACACAGGGTATATATTTATAATATTCAGTCTATTAAATTTATTTACATTCTTACTACAGTATACTGATGTGTCTTCCAAGAAAATTCCAACGAAACTCTTTCATGTCAGTAATTTATAACGGTTTTGTAATTATGACTTTTAAACAACATAGGTTGTAAGTAGCTGAAGAGAACCAAACAAAATAAAATATATTTATGCTTTTGTGCTCAAATGCTTGTTTTCTATTCAAGATATAAGTAACACAATTGTGTTTAACATGACATTACTATTATGCAATTAAGATAAATCATTTAAACACATAATAATACAATGATCAGATTTGTACTATCCTGTATAACTCTCTGGTAACAAGCGGTAATAATTTAAAATGCATAAAAATAGTGGAAAGTGCATAGATATTCATAGAAGAACTAAAAATATCTCTGAAATAGTCAGAAAGTTTGAGACATTCAGTGAACACTTAATTAAAATTTCTACGTGAAGATTAAATTCAAAACGTAAAAACTATAATTAACTAAAAGAAAGAACATAACAGGACATGGATTACTTACTGTACTAGTTGGGCAATGTTGTTTGAAGCATGATTTAGCTGAAGAAGTAAAGTTTAGTGGGACGGAACTTTAAACCAAAAACATGAAAAAATTCAAATAAAGAGAGATTACCCTTGTATTATTATAATTCACATATAATGTATTGATGAAAACATGACAAATAAAGCATTAGATTTCATTTCAATAAATTTATTTTGGTTCGAACTAAGATGTAGTAACAAGGATGTAACTTATCATCAATATAGAGTTTAAACAGATAGATGTTGGCCCAAGTTACTACACCGCATCAGTATAGCGAGATAGGAATTAACAAGATGAGAGGCAAAAGATATTGAAATTATGTAATAGCAATCATAAACAGAAAGAATGAGTATTAAGAATATGTTTTGAACAGACAGAGTGGAAAGATATGAATACTGAAATTCAAGATCGAGAAGAGTGGATTTGTTAGATAGTGAACAATTCTGATCCATATCATTCAGTCTATAACCCTCGATCATCCAGAACCTAAATCAGGTGGTCTACATTCAATAACATGACTCAGACTCAGTAATTTAATGGAATGATACCGCATCTTGGTTTGGTCACCTCTAGCTTTCTTCTAAATTATTTCTACATCAACTAACATCGGCGCTCGATTTAGGCGGTGGTTAAACATACGTAACAGATGTTCTGACCATCAAGTTCGATGAGGAATAATTGCTTTATCAATCAACTTGCCATCTTCGCCAAGTTCCCTGCGTCTAACTTTAATATTGCTCATTCAATGGTCCCTAGATGACAGGTAATGCTTCGAACATTTGGCTGAGATGTTTCATAGGACTGATATCGATTAGCCTTTGTGGTGTTGTATAAAGGGGCCTAGAGGCTCATACTAAGATTTACAGAAGTTAACTCCCTCATTTACGTGTTCAGAAATATTTTTTTAATCCCTAAATGGGAATATTCAATGAGATTTTGCTTAAACTAAACCTACCCTAGTAATATTGATTTATAACCCAGTGTGTTGTAATTCACACTGTTTTCCGATCTGCTGGGCAATAAACTTGTCTTTTGGTTAGTAGACGGATATATCACCTACGCCACAAGTGACGCTAGTTATCAAGGCCAAAAGAATCTTTCGAATCTGTGCCCAGATTTCATCAAATACCAAACCATTGAGACTGATATGACTCTCGAGATGAATGAAGTACCTGACACGCTTAACTACTTTACTCCTTATCATAAATTCAAGCGATGGTCCAGGTCGATCACAAAGTAACATTTTGCACTTAGGGAGAAAGAATCGCGTCCCAAACATGCTAATCTTGTTGCTTAAGGTGGCGAGAAGGTTCCATTTTGTGAGCGTCTTCGCCAAACAGAACTATATCATTTGCGTATACTTAGTCAACAAGTGAATACCCAACGTACTCTCGACGGCCCTCATATGCATAAATATCTCAGTTGTCAGAGCACTAGTCTTGCAAACCAGGGGTTGAGAGTTCGGTCCTTCCTGGGGGGGGGGGGCAGCTTTGCCCTCAAATGCCCTTGTACGCTTGAAGGTTGAGAGTCTGCTTCCCCTCACGAAGTGCTCTCATATGGCTACACGTATACAACCACTGACAGAGAAGTTCCACTCCTTGCCATCTCATGGGAAGAGCGTTGTTTACAAGATTAGGAAGATGAGAAGCGAACGTCTAGAGCCTTGACAGGGTTGGTGAGAACAGAGGATCCACCTAGGGGACTTGTAGAACCCTGGTTCCAAACCTACGAAGCACATAGAATCCAAGTTCCTGTGGGAACAAATGGCGTATGAACACATTGTTGGTCAATGGTTACCATGAGACTACATCTCCTAACGTCGCTCCATTTCCTTGTGGATTAGACGTTTGGGTCAAAGGTTTAGGGAGTGGCTTACTAAGTGAACCACCTGCCTCGGTTTGAGTGCTCGGGCAGTATCCCAAACCAAACACAAATCGAATGATTACATCTAGAAAGAATTATTTTAACTTTAATTTGCATTCTGACAAATTGCGTTCAAAATTATTTGGTAAGACTCGTTTTTATTGTATATTGCGTCACTCGTCTATTCCCTTTTCTGATTTGTGGCGCATATCTATTTGGTGACTCCTTATATCAATTTTTATGTGTTTAAATAAATAAATAAAATAAGTTGAAGTATTATTGAGACTAACAGACTATGTTAGTTAAACTGAGCCCTAAGAAGTTGTCAGAAGAGGATTTTTGCCCTTTCTTATAAACTAGAACCAAGAAAACATTTTAATGAAGGAAAATTTTTTGAACGATAAACGATTTAAATCTGTATTCTGTTAATTGGTCACTTAACCCAATTTGTTTTACAGTGAGAAATGATACATCAATTTTTATACATAACTTCAGTGGTGCTGAAATTAGTAGAAATTCTAACCTTATAATAAACATGAAATAAGACTGTTAGATAGAACTACACACAAGAATATGATATGCAAATTTAACTCACCAATGTAATGTCCAAGTTTGACTTTGTGGTATACGTCTACCAGCAGATATGTTAAACAAACCAGACTCACCAGTGCACAAATTAATTCCTACTGGACATCCTTGTCGTTCAGTAAGAGAAACTGAATCAAACAATAATATGTAGTCACCAACGTAATGTTCTAGAAAACGTTCTCGACATCCAGTAGAATTGATCACACAAGCAGGGACTTGATTCAAAGATACATCACACTGTGACTGATTGTCATTAGAACTATCTGTCAATTTAGTATCACAAGCAATAAAAGTTGAAGATTTCTGATCACCGCTTTTATTACAATCATTAGTGATATGTGAACTGATTAATGGGGAAAATGGATAGAATTCTACATCTGTTAACATTTCAAATACCTATCAAAAAAGAAAATAAATACGGAATTTAAGGACATGTATATTTCATTTGTAGTTAAAATCTTCAGAATTATTCCATTTACAGTGATCTTACTAAAATTTTCAGTAAATTGCATTAATAAAACAATCGCCACCGATAACTTCTAATTTAAATAGATTGTGATGATACAACGATAACGATCATTAATGATCAAATGTACTAATCATGACACAGTACTTGTCCAACTAGAGAAAGTTATATCTTTCATTAGAATTTTCTATACAGCTGTCTTAAATCCTACTATCTATAGACTATTGAAGATCCGAAAATACTTGCTTAAGTAATATCAGAAGAACACATGTTCTAATATCAGAAGAGCCGAACAACCATATTACAATACTAAATAGCCTATAGTATGAAAAGGAATGTCAATGGTGGTGTTATAAGGATGAGTACTAAAATACAGAACTTAAACTGTCAACGCAATCGTTACACTGAATGAAAGATTCAGTAGATACCCAAATTCGAGATCAACGAGCTGGATTCAGTAAGGAACGGTCGTGTACACAACAAAACGCGACACTACGGATTATTGTTGAACAGTCAATTAAATGGAACTCGTTACTATACATCAACTTCCTTGATCATGAGGAAGTAATTGGAATCCTGAAGAGAAAAGGAAAAGAGGAAGACCAGAAAACACATTACGTTGGGAATGGGAGGCGGGCATCAAAAGAGTAGCAGTTGGAAACAACTGGGAAGGAGAGCCCAAGATAGAGTTAGTTGGAGAATCCTGGTCAGTTGACTATGCTCCCACGAGGGATAACAGGAATAAGTAAGTAACTGAACTACAGATGCACGACTTTAATAGCGTGAGATGAAACACTTGAGGAATCGAGATAATAACAAGCTACTCAAATATAACAAGCTAGCAAACAATCAAGTTCATTTGAGACATCTAGGTAATAGGGTTTATTTAGAATTCTTCATGAATTTAACAAATGTTGTTTAGGACTCTTTAAAAGCCTAGACTTAATATAGAAGTTAAATCACTTCCATTATAGAGGCGTAATACATATTTCGCAAACTAAGTATTTCACTGCTACGATGGAACGAAAATTGGCGTAAATTACTAAATATAAGAACCAGTTTTCGATATCTTAGAATTGAAGTGGTTTTAAATGAATGTTAGTCATGTCCATGAAAAACACGAGACGAAGTGCTTTAACTAGCTAAAGTGTCCAATTAGGTAAGAGAGCCAGATATAATTCCTACCGACTGCTTTGCATTACTCTAGTTTGATTATTTTTTCTGGTTAAAGCACTCAGCTTTTAACCACCAGTTCGTTTTTCGCACTCCACTTCCCTTTTGTTCTGGCAACCAGGACAAGATCACTAATTTTCAAAGATAGGTACATAAACCTATACTTGGTAAGTGAATCAGATTGGGATTGGTACTATTATTCTAGCACTATTATCTATAAAGTAAGAAGCTAAGTTAATAAACTCTCAAATCTTATATTTCAAAGATATCTGACATTTGAATGGTCATGGAATAGCATAATAGGAGGTTTCGTATCTGAACGATGTTCCGTCGGTTCAAGAGCGTAGGAATACTTGTACATAAATCACTATACCCACATCTCTAGACATATCTTAAACCGGTTAAGGTTATAAAGATAAGATAGTACTACCAGATAATGATACTAGAAAGATTGGCGCTCATGACATTTTGGATTGAGATATCTGGGATGCATTTCTGAACTTTTAAATCTAAAAGGTCGTATGGAAACTGATCTGCATTGGCACATATTGTAGCGATGGAAAGCCAGTGAGGATATTCAATATTTTACTTGAGTAAAAATCGGCATCGGTCGATGGTTGTAACTCAAGCCACTAATCAATTACCAGTTTGTGTACTCTATTATTAATAACTATCAGGCAAACGTTACAATATATTTTCACTTATATAATGAATAGAGCTGAGGAAACACATACCACTGAAGTTGGGTCATCGTAAACCTCCAATAGTATAAGCAATTGACCGGATACCGACCGACAGTATTGTTAGATAGGGGTTCTTTGAGAACTTACTTCCAATTATCACTTGTTGTTTACTTAACTTTTGACTTAGTTGACTTTATAACACCCTAATCCATGAAATTGCTTATTTTATGCACACAGCTGGTAAACGTAAAACATGGATGAGACCGTAGGTGGGATCATTCAGCTAATTGACTGGGGACTTACGCGTTACCTTGACCAAGTCACGTTCGCATAAGAAAGCTTACCAAAAATCTATAAATTATACTAAGATTAGAAATACTAAAATTACAGGGTTTTGGCACATACTGGTACGTAAGAGAGGATATTTTGGGAGAGTTAAACTTTTAAAACCATTCCACGGAGAAATGTGATGCGAATTTTTAACGTATAATTACTAAACATTTGGGTTGTGGTATTTTCTTATCTCAGTCACCAACTATCGTTATGTGTTTTGCCGCTCCTACATTGTCGTTAAATAATTATGAATTTATTACTCTATTTTAATGATGACCTAATTGTGTGCATATTGGGATTCCTTTATTATGTTTCAGTAAAATCAGGTATTTAATGTATGTTGCAGTGTCCTGAGTTATGATGAATAGATTAGAATAAAGAGTACTTTATCTGACGATCTTGGTATTTTAACTGATTGTTAAAAGTGGGGAATTTCGGTGGGCTGATAAGAACGGAGATTTTGTCGAACGTTAACCAGTCAATTGTCGTCAGTCAAATCGTGTCATTGGTCTGATAGGTGTAGAGCGTACATGGATTTACTGGACTTCATCCTCTGATTCGATTATTTATTTATTTAAACACATAAACATTGGTACAAGGAGGCACCAAATAGATATGCGCCACATAGATCATTCGATTTGTGTGAGGGCTGGGATACTGCCCGGGTGCCCAGACCGATTCGATTAGACATCAATAGTGGACTGAAGATCATAATACTTCTATGACAAGTGGTTCATTTAAAAAAGACCTGTTTTTTTAGCAGACACCAATTTGATAGAAACTATTTCCAAATTGAATTTATGAGATGGTGAAGATTTGAATCTCAAGTGGATGATTTTGGCATTGTTTTTTAAGCTTGACGGTTTGGTTGTGGAGCTTTCATCGTTATTCTAAACGATATCATCAGCACAAACTTCAGGTAGTAGTAAAGCTTCTGCTAATGATGTCGCCCAGAATAACGATGAAAGATCCAAGACAAAACCATCCAGCTCAGAGAAAAAAAATCAAACAACATTGAACTTATTTCCTCAAGTCCTTTTTGTACCTTAATGACAACAACCAAAGTCAATAACTAAGTACAGATACATTAATGAACTGTGAACTGTGAGTGATATGTTGGCATAAAACATATTATCGGGCTTTTTACATCACAGTAGGTAAACCTGAGTAAACACTTGAAAATTTTGGATTTAGAGTCTGTTATGACTTGATGTCCAGCTTTTAATCACGTAATTTACCCACCAATCAAACTACGACTTATAAAATCTTATTTATTATTTATTTTAACACATAGACATTGGTACATGGAGGCACCAAATACATATGCGCCACACAAATCTCATTCGATATGTGTGAGGGCTGTGATACTGCCCGGGTGCCCAAACCGAAGCAGGTGGTTCATACGCCAGTTGTCCCCTCAGGATACTGGAGCCCATGTGCACCATTGGTTTGTGATCCGGTTAAAGCTTTACGTCCTCTCATTTTCGTAAACAACACCCCCGCCACAAGAAGGCAATGAGTAGGACTTCCCTGGCAGAGGCTGCATACGCGCGGCCGTATGAGAGTATTTCGAGAGGGAGAGCGGACTCTCCCCACTCTCGGCCGTACCAGGGCATTAGGGGGCCCGTCCACTTGAGTCCAGAACACCAATACCAGCTTCCACTATGCGAATCGAATCAAATCATTTATTTCAGACATACTGGATTTGTATATCCACCAAATAGACTGCAATGCACCATAAAATAGGAACTAACATTTGTACACAACAAAGCCGAAAAGTGACTGTGAACGTGGGAGACAGTAGTCAGTAAACTGAACAGAGCTTAAGAACAGTTAATCGTACAATAATAAATTATAGGTCAAAATAAAGCTTATAATAAGAGGAATGTAAATATACATAATCTAATTACTGAATATTTATACCATGAGAATATATAAGTAATATTAGTTCATTAATAGGTTTCAGTCGTTACTCGTGATCTAATCTTCGCTCGGATATAACGGAATCACCTATTTAAAATATGGGGTCATTGCTCAAATAGTTGTACGCAGATATACTCATATAACGATGAGATAATTAGTGCATTTGAGTAGCAAAAAAAGTATATATTGATGCCTTAGAAGAAATTTCACTGTAACACTTACTCAAGATACAAATTTAGTATTTTGAAAGATCGCACGTCTAGCTTAAAAATAAGTATGTGAATGTTGATAAATACAATGTCCAATTAGAAAATCAAGTCCCATAATTCTATCAAAACTGTCAAAAATTATTAGCACATTGACTGAAAAACTAAATCACCAGAGGGCAACAGTGCATACATCAAAAGCTGTATTTCTATAGTTCATTACATATAAACTCTACCAACTAAGACTCAAGATAACTTATTTCAAATATCACTTGTATGTGTTCGGGTAAGTCCTGCCTTGGTCTGAGAGTCTGGGTAGTATCCCAGCCCTCATACAAATCGAGTGATTTGCGTCTCATATCTGCTTGACACCTCTTTGCACCAATGTTTGTTTAAATAAGTAAATAGTTCGGGTAGGTAGAATCGTGAAGATTATGCTATTTAGATCCACGTTGTGATCACGTTGAACTTAATTCAAACACCCATTTTAAATAACTGAATAACTAAGCTTCAGTTTGCAGTTCGTTAAGTCTATGAAAGTTTGAGCAAACAAAAGATAATCCTGAATTAGTGCCCATAGTGCACAGAAAAAGTCTACATTTGGAATGGCAATCACAATTCCAGTAAACTGATAGCTTTAGCATTTAAGATGTTCATATATGATATCACGTTAATAAAACGCAATCTACAACAGACTAAATTTGGAGCCATATTTAGCGACCTAATTGCTTATCAATCGTAACGTGGAGTCACGATTTTGATCAGAAACAAATAAATGTATCCCAAAACACTATACTGTTGATTAATCGACTCTCTCATCTGGATATTTCTAATCAAGCTGTTGATATATTTCATTGCAAACAAGAAGAATGACCACCCAAATAAATATATTGCTGGTAAAGAAATTTGATAATAAACCCAGTAGTGTGAAGTTCTCAATTTTTATGTAAGTGTATAAAAAAGACAGAAACAATGAACGTACCTCATAACTTGGATCTCTCAGACGAGGATCATGTGAGTATAAACAGAACTTTGGCTGATTATTAACCGATTGGTCGAATTCGTTAATAATGTAATGATTAGATAAATACATTTCATTTAGTTGAATCAAAACCGAATTTTTCTCAGCATTATTAATACCACTGACTAATGTGAAAGGATAATTTAATTTGCCTGGATTAGAAACCACGCAGACGTTTACGTCAGCTAGAAAAGATGAGATAGAATTGGAAAGAACCAAACACTTAGAGTGTCACAAAAGTAAACAAAATTTACTGGGTCATTATCCTACTGTTATTACGAGGTACCTTAGGTCGATAAGCATAGTTAATGTTATATGAAACAAAGATCAGTTTAAGAAAGCATAACCAAACGCAAAAGTACGAAAGTGCACCACTTGAACCAACCAAAACCCTATTAAATGTTAACTATACTCAGCAAAACGGCTGCTCTCAATTCTACTTTGTAACTAAAACATGACTACTGAATTTAAATGTATATGGCGTACGAATGACTGATTACTAGTCATATTGTAGCATCGTTCATATGTTAGCAATGCTAAGGTGCATAGTTTCCAATACGATTATGTAGTTATGAAGCTTGTTCGCAAAATTTAGGCGGTATCCTTTAAAATCCATTATTTATTTAGGTACTACAAGCACAGCTAATATCTTTATCTGATGATTAGACTTAATTATCGCGACAACCCAACTGAGCTACATTGGATGAAACACTTGTTCTTTTCAGTAATATTATTTTAAATCGATCTGGTGCTTTTGATGCCCTTTCATTCTGAACTTTTACATTAAAAATAAAGGTAATTTGGTTGAGGAGATGAGGAACCAAAAGCAAAAATATTATAATCAGAGGACAAAGTTGTGCTGGTCGCTTTACTAAGGTTAATCCCATGGTTAGGTTGAACCTCCAGTAATGTTGTCCAACTAAAAACAAGTACAGTAAGAACTCGACCACAGAAATAACATTATTGCTTACTAGTTTCTAGACCGACAGGTCTGAAAAACAGAGTTAACGTAAGGAGGACTACTCGAAAAACGTTTTTATGAGTGTTATTCCTGATTGCCTGAAGTTCAGGTTCAAAATGCATGCTGAAAAATGTTCAAACCCTGTGTTGAGTAGGTAAAAAGGTTTCATGGGCTAAAACTACTACGTCTACTGAAGGACGTTTCCTAATTCCAGTCCTGCTTTTCCCTAAGTACTACTCTCTGAATATTACTGTAGGTAAAATACCCCTTTGGGTCACCTTGTGGACAGGAATTTCATGGACATAATTCTACAGGAGGAAGTCTATCTCGACACAGCAAGGCATGTTCGCCAAACAACCACGAAATCAGTAACATAATGGCGATTCTAATAGAAAGTTTAGTGGATTTCGGAAGCTTCTATCGGATGAACAGTTGCTTAGAAGCTCTTTTTGATAGCTCCAGCAAATTAATGAACCAAAATATCAAGGGTTCCAAATGCTATAAACGATTACTAGTATGAAGAAACACTCAGATATCCTCTTCCTTCTTACCTTTTTTCAAGTTTTCAAGAAAGGTTTCTGAAAGCTTTTGAAGTAGAGTATATATCCTGGAGTCGGAAAATTTGCATACCACAGAGGTGTCCGTATTTACTAAGAACTCCAGGGGCTTGTCATCAGTCACTAGAGGGATCGACAGACCGAACGACTTCACGAAAACGGACTTTAAATGAAGTGCATCATGGGGTTTGACCTGAAGATCACTATTCAATCTAGTATACTTACTCTCAGATGAAGCAAAGGAATTTGCGCCCGATGATCACAAACATAGTCCCATCCTAAAGCGACTCGCGCGGCTGACAAAAAGGACGAGACGTCCGATTCAAAGTTTCCTCCCAGACTCAGGAGTACATGAAAGTCGACTTCAAAATCTTTGATGAAAAGTGGATCATTTAAGCGGGATGATATCCTGAAACAATTACAAGAGTTAAATTACCATTCAGCTGCAAGACGAACTGAACGAAAGCCAGTAAAAACAGCAGCATAGAGTCTAAGGTGCTAAATATGAGGAATTCGGAAACGTACGCGTATTTCGAGGGAAAGTATGACTTTTTTAATTCATCAATAATTTTCTGACCTCTATTAATAACCGCTAAGTCTAAAAGGCCGGGAGGTGGATCGCGAATTCCATCAGCCATCCGATGTAAAGTTAGGTCTTTGGCAGTTTCGCGTTTAGTGTGGTTGTATGTTATGCACTGGAAGAGTGAACAGTACTGTTCACTCACGCTACGTAGCGTGAGAGAATCTGGAAGACGAAAGCACAGTGAGTTTTAAGTAAGCTGACTACTGAGCAGGCACAAAGTGGACTTACGCTTATTAGTGAAAAGGATTGACAGCTATTAGTAATAACGCAGCAGCTATAGTAAAGCAGTCAGATAACTGGGAGCAAAATGTCGTGAATCAAGACCGACAACAACGAAACCTTGCGCCATGAGCGACCTACAAAGGGTCATTTCAAATACTTCAAATGATGAGGTTTGCGTAAGTTCGCGAAAGACTTTAGATCGTAGAGTAAAAACACTCCTGGATCTTTTTCAACAAGAGATATTTTCATTGGGGGGTCACCTAAGTTGTATTTGTAGTCCGCAACATGTGTACGACATTGAAGTGTTAAAGGTAAGTTCGTTGTTATCTGCCCACCTTTGAAGTCGAATCAGATCCACCTGAAGGTAAAGTCCGTCCTCTTGGCTGCATACTTATCCCCAGAGTTCCTAAACATCAGAGAAAATTAACAAATCCTACGATAACTCCTGTGGAAGATCGTTTATATAAATCATGATAAGAAGAGGTCCTAGTACTGAACCCTGACGGACCGCACTAGGACATTCCATAGCATGAGGGAAATCGAAAATTAACCTGATCTTGAAATGTTGACTTCTTAGATATGAAGTGAACCACTCTATTAAATGAGATTTGGTGCCTAATCGTTGGTAAGACATATATGGTTGACCCCACCAAAAGTCTTCAGAAGTCAAGATAAATGGAGTCAACCTTCCCCTTGCAACCAGGGATGGTCGTTCAGCTGTCCACCGTAGCCAGCAGGTTAGTTACACAAGAGTGACCTTTTCCGAGATCGTGCTGTTGGAGTGAAAAGAAGTTTATGGATAGTAAGTAGTCGTGTACACCGTCATATATCAGAGGCTCCGGAATTTGAACTAGTGAATTCGAGAACATCACTCCAAGCAGTGTTGCCATCATTAAAGCTACTTCCCTCAGCGTAGTAGAATGGACCATATCTCGGCCAGGAGAAGGGTCTTTTTTAAAAGCCACTGTTTCCGGTACAAGTCAGCAATCAGGCTCACTTCTGGAATTCCTGTGAGGTTGCAGGTGAAGTATTCATCAATAACGTTGGTGCAGGTCTGTTGAATTTTCTGAGAGAACTGTTCTGCCAGAGGGTTAGCGACGTTACCGCTGTCGTTGGTCGGGCCATCAAGACCTAGCAGTGGGAAACTGTAGTTTTATTTTGTCGAAGAGAGGCTGCATGATGAAATAATCTTTTCGAATTGGAGACAAATTTATCCATAAGCTTTTTCTGGTACTGAAACTTGTCTTTTATCGCCTTTGTGAATATATTACTTTTTTTGATTGCCTGTATGCGTTGTTGTTACCAGTTCGTTTGTATTCCTCCCAGTAGTGCCTTTTGAGGCAGTGCGATTCCAGATGACTGTAGGGTGCTTGTATATTTTGGAGACTGTTGGCGAAACAGATGGCATTAAGAAATCTCAATGAGTATCCACGTCAAGTTGACGGTAACCTCCCAGTCCACCTGTTGTAGACCGTCCTGTAAAGCTAACACATCCAGCCATTTGAAATTCCAGCGCCTGTTGTCGATAGGATGTCTCAGATTAGTTTCGCTTATGAAAATTAGGGCTATGACGGAGTGATAGTTTTTTCTCTAGGGGAGCAAAAATGAGGAGGTTGTCAATTAAAAATTCTTCGTTTGTAAATACCCAGTCTGACCGTTTCTCCAACGAGTTACCGACGTCACAATTTCGAATAATCCTAGATCCTCAGTGAGGTTGAAAATCCGAGCTTCAGTAGAGTTTTCAACTCCAATACACGTAAGTTCCACGAAATTAACCTTGAGAAGATTGATGTCCCCTAGAATCATGATATGCGTGAATCCGAGACGAGTAGAGCAGGATAATGCTTCCAGCATACGATTGTCGTACTCCATGTCAGCAGTGGGCACTCTGTATATTACTACAACTGGACACCTAGAGGTGGGAGACAATCTTACCGAGCACCATATGGATTTGTAACAGCTCAGGTTGGTTGGGTAAGAGTTGACCCCAAACAACCAAGCTTATGCCAAAACAGTATTGTTCAAGTATTCATTCACTTCCTTATTTTTCATAAGCGTTATATTCCCTATTATCTTATATTGAATGTTGAGAGCCTTTGTTTGTCTGAACAGATAATCCCACGCTCCACTGCGACTGCGCTAAGATCGAAATAAAGACCTATTCACTACTTCTCTGGTTTCTTCTATCAATAGCACGAGGGTTACCTTAAGGCACGAAACTGGTGAGCCCTTTTTGAACACAAATTTAACCTCATTTCTGTTATTAACATTTTTTTTACTTAATCGTAAAAGTAGACCTGATTATCCGTAAACTAATTTGAGTATATAACTAGTTTATTCCGTATTATCTTAAGTTATTCGTGTTATAGTAACCACTTTTTGTGCTAACTTTATTGCTATATTTGTCACATACCTCATGTCAGACTCAATAGAAACCCATAATCTGGAGGATTTGTCACCAGTGGAGATAGACACTGTTATGACTACGAAATCCCGACTTCCAGAATTTGATCGTAGTGATCCTGAGTTGTGGTTTGCTCAACTAGAGCATTATTTCACGAGACACAATATCAAATCTGAAGGGATTCGCTATAGAGACTTGTGTTCTATCCTTCCTCCTTCAGTCGCCAAAGAAGTCCGTGACTTGATTTTAAGCCCACCATCACCACAACCATACACCATCTTAAGACGAGAGATAATGAACCGTTTATCATTATCAGATAGTCAAAGAATCCAAAGACTTTTTCAAGGTGAAACACTAGGTGATCGGTCGCCGTCACAGTTTTTACGTCACCTCCAAGTCTCAGTGGGTGATAACACAGTGGGTGAAGCAGTCCTAAAACAAGGATGGATACAAGCTCTCCCATGCTACGTCCAACACTGTTTGGATGCACAGGATCCTGAAACCTCATTATCTCATTTAGCGCGTATAGCCGACAGAATAATGGAAAGAGGTCCTCCAACTGGATCAGGCATAATAAATCACACACAAAAAGTAGAATCAGCAAAAGACCCCGTAATAGAAGGACTCATTGCGAGTGTTAAGAGTCTCACTGAGGCTGTCACCAGAATGCAAATGGGTCATAGAAACAGGAGCAGGTCACCACAACGACCACGATCTAAGTCACAAAACAGGTCACAAATGTCCAGACAATCTGGGCAGTTTTGTTGGTACCACTGGAAGTTTGGTGTCAACTCAACCAAGTGCACGCAACCATGCGCCTGGCCTAAGCATAATTCTAAGTCAGCGGGAAACGAGTAACCCCTCCCCAGGTCGCGACGACTGAGGAGGGGCGCCTAAACAGTCGCTTGTTTTATGTTAGAGACAGAAACTCGGGCTTGAATTTCTTGGTGGATACTGGCGCTGCTCTAAGCATCATCCCTCAAAATAAAACTGAGATTAGTCGAGAAACATCATCAATTACACTTCAAGCTGCAAATAAAACTAAAATTGCGACATTTGGGCAGAAAACTTTAACCCTAGATTTGGGGTTCAGGAGGCAATTCCCTTGGGTTTTCACGGTAGCCGACTTAGATCTGGCAATACTGGGGATGGACTTTCTAGAGAGATACGAATTTCTAGTTGACACCAAGAAACGGCGATTAACACTAAAAGAAACTTCGTATTACACAAAAGGCAAAGAAAGCCACATCAGCTCTCTTAACTTGATTCAAACCCCTCCAGTAACAACAGCGAAATTCCAAGATATACTCGCGGAATTTCCAAACTTAACTAGACCAAACCCACAGCCTTCCAAAGACAAACTAAAAGTGAGTCACACTATCAAAACCGAAGGTGCGCCGGTGTTTGCAAAACCCAGGAGACTAGCACCAGATAAGCTCAAAATCGCTAGGGCCGAGTTTGATTATATGCTACAATTGGGTATCATCCGTCCCTCTGATAGTCAATGGGCATCTCCTTTGCATATGGTCCCAAAGAAAAATGAAGGTGACTGGCGACCGTGCGGGGATTACAGAGCCCTAAACCGTCAAACCGTACCTGATAGGTACCCAATACCTCATATCCAAGATTTTACCAACGGTTTACAGGGTATGAACATATTCACTAAAATTGACTTAGTCAGGGCATATCACAATATCCCGGTGGCTGATGAAGATATTCCCAAGACAGCTATTACTACGCCCTTTGGCTTATTCGAGTTTGTACGCATGCCATTCGGCCTGAGAAATGCGTCACAGACATTTCAAAGATTCATAAATAACTTACTTCGAGATATGCCAATTGCGCAAGGGTATATAGACGACTTGTTAATTGCCAGCCCCGATTTGCAATCACACGAACAGCATGTACAAGCAGTGTTGAAAAGACTGGATGAACATGGAATAAACATACATCAAAGTAAGTGTGTTTTCGGTGTCCAAACTTTAGAATTTCTCGGTCACACAATAAGCCCAGAAGGGATTAAACCTATAAAAAAAGAAGTGGATACCATCAAACAATACCCCGTACCTAGTTCTCTAACACAACTGAGAAGTTTTCTAGGCCTAATTAACTTTTATCGCAGATTCATACCAGGTTGTGCACAATTAATGCAACCTTTGACAGATTCACTTAAAGGAAAACCAAAAGAATTCAAACTGTCTTCTGACGCCATCGAAGCTATTAAACAGCTTAAAGATAAACTGGCTGAAGCAACTACGTTGATATATCCGAATTCTCTTTCCCCACTTGCTTTGATGGTGGATGCTTCAGATAAAGCAGTAGGCGGTACCCTTAACCAACTGGTTAAAAACGCCTGGAAACCAATTGCTTTTTTCTCGAAAAGACTCGCTCCAGCCGAAACAAGGTATTCTACCTTCGGGCGAGAACTTCTTGCAATCTACCTGACCATTAAACACTTCCGACACATGTTAGAAGGTAGGGAATTTATAGTTTTTACGGATCATAAACCACTGACGAATGCATTAAAAGCGAGAGCCGATAAATACTCACCTCGAGAAGTCCGACACCTTGACTATATATCACAGTTCACAAGCGATATCCGACATGTCAAAGGTCAGGACAATCAGGCGGCAGATGCTTTATCCAGACTAGAAATGAACGTGCTACAGCAGTCTACAGTAAACTTCGAGACGTTAAGACACGAACAAGAGCAGGACCTAGAATTGCAAAACCTACTT